AAAAAAATGTGAACTGGTTACAAGAATGCAATATCGTCAGAACGTACCTTACAACTAAGAAGATTCCTGAGCATTTTTTCGTCGCAAAATTCTGTTTCATCGTCAATTGTTCGTTTTTTCTGCAAGTACAAAAAGTTTTCGTTAATGAATTAAAACTAATCAACAGTATTCAAACAGTTAATCTTACCGGACCAATTTTAATCCATTGTTTCAACTCCTCTAATTGAAGTGGTGGCTCTTCAACGACTGGACACCATTGAACCTCTTCTTCAACAGGAGCCTGTGATAAAACGAATTACAGCAAATTGTGAAATCGAAAAAACAAACTATTGAAAACATACCGGATCGTTATCGAAATTCCATTCAGTTCCCTCATCACTAAATTCCGTTAATTCAAATCCAAGACCTCGACGACCTTTTTGTTTACTTGCTTCAATAATATTAGTTGGACCTTGCTCACGTACACCAAGACCTTTTGTATCGTTATAACCCATTTTCTCCTATAAATGAATAGAAGAAAAACATATTAAACAATCTTTTATCTAAACTACAAGCAATAAAAGAAGAAAACTCGCCATCATTATTTTAGCTTGCATTGAGTACGTTGTATCTGAGGATGTTGTTGATGCTACAGTAGATTTTGATTGTTCACCCATCTCATGCTGTGGTTTTAGTCTTTTCTTTGGTAGTTCATTGTCATGATACGGTAACTTAATTTTCGTTTTGTTAACATTATCTTCTTGTTTTACATGTTTAGTGTATTCATAGCTTTTAATTGGCGATGCTGTTTCAACTTTTTGATGGAAGTTATGATTTGGATTATACAGCAATGATGGATCTTCATTAGTTTCAGGCGGAGAATAGAATGCTATTTTGTCCATTCCAATCTCATTTGAGGAGGAGGACGACGACGATAAATAATCACCGGCAGGCGGAGGCCATACTTTGGATGATAATGTTCTTGAAATGTGTTCTTTCGTTGAATTTGGAGGATAGTTTCGAACGTTACTTTTATTTACATCTTCTTCACTATCACTATCAGACAAATGACTATTACTCAATGTGTCTGATGATACTGGTCGCAATTCTAAAATAGAATTCAAATTGATGAACAGTAAGTAAACTTTTTAGAATATAAAATTAGCAACTATTAATCGTACTCTTTGCATTTGTTATTGACACATGATCAGATTCATCACTTTTACGTTTTTTTGACATCATAAATTTCGGTTCCTATATCTGAAAAGCCAAGTTAAAAAAGATACAGTTATCAATATAATGAGCAAGGCTAAGATATCACTGACCGCGTTCAAACAACAATACTTCAGCTGTTTTTAATAAGTTGAGGTTTTTGAGTTTGCACGAGATGTTAGCTGTTCTCTGTGGTCTCTGGAAATATTCTTTCTTTGATATTGGTTTAAATATCTCCATCCCGAAACTAAACTTTTTTTACTCATTTCATAGAGCATACAGAATACCGGACAGTTCGCTTCAGCAAAAGAGTATACCATTCAAAGACGAAGAACTGCTAAAAGAAATTCTTACATGAGACTAAAGCAGCTTTCTTATCGGCTATGTAATTATCTCTCGTACGTTTCTAGGTCGTTTTTTCCGCCTCTTCCTATGTTTATCTGGTCCAATATCAATGTGGTGGTGTCACCATTTAAAGCGTCCTCTAGTAAGTACTTAAAAGTGAGCGTGAAAATGTGCTTATAATTATTTCCACGCCGTTCAACGTCACAGGTTAACAATTAAATTCTTTTGAATTTCTATTACCACTATCTTCTTTCTAACACGATATAGGTAACAGATAGTCTCGCTTGTATATACACAAATTAATCAGACACATTGTAAACAGAAACACTACAGAAACTACAGAAGTTGTTTAACTAACAGCATGCAGCAGCTAACAACAAATTTAAAAATGAGTACGAAAAAAATTGAGGCCTTTTCTCTAAAAGTGAATCAGCTAAACAACTAGACGAATATATAATTTATTTTTCGACAAAACTTGTTATTCTTTTTTCCTGTTCAATCATTTTGCATTTAAATTCTTCTACATATTCTATAAGTTGAAAGTGCATTTCTCATATTTGATATCTTCTGGTTACAGAAAATATCAACTATAAAAAACCATAGCAAAAAATTGGCGGAGTTTTATTTGAAAACATTCATTTTCACATCAATAAACCATCTTTCAGTTGTTGTACTATCGTAGTTGTAAGTATAAAAACTCAACATTACCAACGTAAAACTAAAAAAATGAATTATTCTACAAACATGAGAGCAGATTTCGAAAAACAACTTTTTCACTGATAGCAGATTTCGGGCGAAAGTTTGAAAATTCCTCCCTTTATCATGTTTTTCCAATTGGAATGAAAGCAATAGTTTACAATTGAATAAACATTTGAAACAGAAGAACGCTGAATAATGGCATTGAATTGTTCCTATAATTCCACCACTGTACGCTCGTATAAGAGTTTTATTTTCATAAAAACAAGTAAAAATTATCTGGATTAGTCCTAATCAAAGATCCAGTAAAAAATATGCATGTATATGTGTGTATAAGATAATCAGTAATATCCATTTACGTTTTCGTTACGATTTGTCTATTATTCTCTCTACAAAATAAGACAACTGAAAAATTAAATCTTTTGTTTGTTCTCCATTTTCTCGTAATATTTAAAACATAAGAAAGAGCAATAACACAAAAAATTATCAGAAAAGAAAAATGTGGAATAAAAAACGAAAGGGACAGATCATGTTTAACACCGGAAAGAAAAAACAAAATGACACACAAATTCATCATGCTCAAAGTAACAACAACGGCAAAAGAAAAGTGATGTGAGAAATGCTATGAGCGCAATTTCAAGCAGTTCACAGTTGATGACAATAGTAACAAAAAGACGAAGATAAAACGCTAAATAAAGAATCCTTATAAAGATATAAAAAGTATTAATTCAGACTCAGTTTCGCTGTTTTGCTCATCTGTTGTATAACTAGCAGCCAAACTAAGGTCAATTTTCAAGATAGCATCCCTTCATCCTTCTCCTCACTATGTTGATCACTTAAAATTGTTTGTCACGCGTGTCAGAGTATTTTCTCTTCTTTTGATTTTTCTTTACATTGCAGCATCATCGGACATGTCATCTTCATAATTTCGAGCACTTTTTCTTAATGACTGCTGAATAGGAAAATCATGATTGGTTGAATGATCATTATTATTATTGTTAATATTTGTTGACATTTGATGATGATGTAATTGTTGTTGATGATGATGAGTACTTATCGACGTTTCGTCTCTAACAACTAAATTTGCTTTTAATATAGCTGAACGTAATAATAATGATTTTGTCGTTTTTTCACATTGTTTTGCTATATTTAGTGCGTGTTGATAAGCATACCAACGTTGATCTGTATCAGCAACATATAATATTTTATTTTTTGAATCAATTCTTGCTTTTATTTTACCATTTCTGATTAGATTCACCAATTCATCTTCTAGAAAATCAATTGTTGTATTCAGTTGTTTAGCCATTATCAACATACTAGCATTTTTATATGGTAAAAAATAAGTAACAATAATACGATGTCGAATATCATAATATAATGGCTTAACATGTTGAGCCAAATAAATATCTAAATAAAATAAATTTTGTAATTGTGCCATTAATTTTAAACAATCACTATAATTTGTATCATAAAATTTTTGAATTATATCACGAATATTTGGTTCTAATTCTAAACACGAAAACAAACAGTTACATAGAGTAAAAGAGTAAAAACACAAATTCTGTAAGTTTTAATACAATCAAAATGTGTAGTAAATAGTATAAGAATATTTCATATAAAAAACTATGAACGAATATAATTAAAGAGGATGATATGCGAGTCACCTAATAACAATGCTTTGTAACGAAGGAGACTGTATGTATCCGAAAAAAAATGATTTGCAATTTTAATAAAGAGAAAAAGCGAACACTAATAATCCACTACCCTCGCCCCTTCTAAAATAAAAGACCCGTAATCTTTTAATGTGTCTTGCAAAATCATGGTCTCTTGAGTGATCTTCTATTGAGACATAATTGTTTTTTGTCTGTCAGGAGAATTAACATCCTTTTCCATAGAAGGACTGATTTCTATTACTTATAGTCTGTTTTTCTCGTTCATTTGATCACTTTTTTTGTCATGAAAATGATTTATCACGTTCAACTACAGTCGTTAACTTTAACATCTTTTCATTTTAATCTTATTCCCAGAAAGAAAATAATGTACCTTGCTGCAATTTATAGACTTTCCAACGATGCTTTTAATGTAACTACGTCGTCATATATCCAAGTATAGCCTAGTTAACGAAATGCTTTTGAAAAATCAATACTCTTTAGTGTTCTTTTCCAAGCAGTGGCAGTGGGACAGATAAACAGTACTCGTTGATGACTCACTGTCGCTTTAATTGAAGGACGCAACTCATTTGCTTCAACATATTCCTCAGCTGCATCGTATTATTGTTTTTTGAATGTCGAGAAAACATAAATAACCACATATATCGTGCAATCTTCTGTAGTTATGCCTAATACGATACCTTTTTGAACATTTTATTTCTCTCCTAACTGACTTCTACGTTTATACACAAAGACTTCGTTAAAACTAATGTAGGACCATGTTCTATTTGTCTTTCAAGTCAGAAACTCAACAGTGGTCTTCTATTCTGGAAGAAGCGATTACTCAATAAACAAGAATCTCTTCTCTATTATTAAGCCGCTCATTCAATTATATTGCTCATTTTTTAATACATGGAGACAAAAATGCTTTCAATCGCGTCGAAATTTAAAAGTTCGAAATGTACCATATTTAATTCGGGTTTATATCTCTTCGAACTTTCTAAACAAATTCTTTCTAATGAATTCTTACTGAGATTCTGTACAACACTGAGTTGAAATTATTTTTGCTTGAGACCACCTGTCCGATTCTATAGTTTTATTTTCGCTATTTTGATTTGTTCTCATCACTTTCTTTTACTCTCTCCAACATACCTAGATATTGTTTAATGTTACTATTCAAAATTAAACGCTGTATTTCATGTCGTTCAAATGTGGCTAACGAACATAAACAAACATATTGTATTAATGTTTGTGGTGATATTAAATCGTGAAAATTATTTTGACAGTGTTCAAAATTAACATTAATAAAATGTCTTGCAGCTAACTTATAACGTTTTGTTGATAATTCAGCTATACCAGCATAGACCTTTAATTTCGATGCTAATATTTGATCTTGTGTCGATGATGATGTAGATGCTGGAGATGTATCCATTGCGGTTGCTGTTGTTGCCGTCATGGAAGATTGTTTTGTAGCACCACTTGAATGTTCTAAATTTTCCATAGCTTGTTCAGCCTTGCTAACATATGTTATTACATTTGGCCAATTTTGTAGATAGAAACTTGCTTTGATAACATTAATACACATTGTTACCATATGACGAGGTGTTATACAATAATCTCGAGAACGTACATAACATCGAACAGCATTAAAATAATCACCGCTATCTAAATAATGATCACCTAAATCATCATGTCCACGTCGGATCGAATCTTTTATGGAATTTGTTCGAAAATTTCTCAAATCGGTATCTAATTTTTCTAATTTATGTAAATAATTGCGTTGTGTACGCTCTAACCATTGTGCATCTAATTCTGGCATTGTTAAAGGTGGCTGCTGTGTTGGTTGACGTTTTGATGCTTGTACCATTTCATTTAAACTATTATGAACTGTTCTGTACATTGTCATAAAATGTGTATCTTGAATATATTTTAATGCGGCACATGAAGCATCAAATTTTAATGATGGACAATGATCAGCTATATAGACTAAACGATTAATACGCATTAGACCATCATACGACGTTATTATCGTATCCAAATCAAAACCGGTTGAATTTTCAACTTGATAGTGTGGGTCTAATGTTTGATTACTATCATGAGATATTTGTTGTTGCAACATATTATTATTTATGCTTGTTTTATTCACTGTTGTCAATCGCTCGTCACCACTGGCAGTAACACCAGCAGTATTCTAAATAAATAAAACAATTATATTAAAGTAGCATGAACTATTAATCGGAAATGTACTCTAATGAAGTCAACTACTTTCAGAGCTGTAGTCATTTTCCACAAACAGTCTAAAATCTGAAATAACACCACTTACATTATTATAAGATGAACTTGATGTAATTATTGATGATGTTGATACGTTTGTATCCATTTGTGGATTTTCAACCCAACGTTGTTTATTCATTCTATCTGAAATACAAATGGAAAAGAACAATAACTGTTTTAACATGAAAAATAGATCATCGGTTCCTGGATCAGCAACTATAAAAAATGAATTAAAATGAATTTCTATTTTCTTACTACAGCGATAATTTCTTAGAACCAAAATTACCAAAAGAGGATACAAAGAGACGTTCGAACACATTTCAGTTATCTTCCCAGTTCTTGTTTTTTGATAATTCGTTAATATATAACTGATGTTCTATTTTAATTAATTTGCTTTTCTATTCTTTAAAAAAACAACGCTCAATAATGTCAGTTTCAACTTTCTATGCAACTTTTATATGTTCTCGAAGAATCATGTCATTCATTAAACTGTTGTACCGTTCAACCATACCTTGATCGTGTTCACCTATATTTAAGATTAAAAGTACAATGCCGTAAAATGAAATGTACAAACAAGCAGGCAATTTGTTGCATGAATGACGAAATGAAACAAATGTGTTTATTATCATTTTTTATCTGTTAAACCAGAAACTGTGAATTCCGGTGTACTTTAGTCTCATATTCATCATAGCATCATTGTATAAGTCCATCCAACATTTTACAACAGTTAAAGTCAAATTGCTACGAATCATAGTAGTTAAAATGAGGTTTTTCAAATAAGAAACGATTTGGCAAGAACTTGTTCATGATCCAGTATATCTTTATATAGATTATGTATATAAGAGTTGACGTTTCGTTCTTGCACAATAGAACGAATTTCTCTCTAAAGCGTTTAGTAAGTTGTGTTATTTTTCTTAAAAGTATCCGCATGAAAGATAAATCGTTCAACTTAGTAACGATTCAAGAGATAGACAAACTCCTCCATAGTAAAAACAAAAATAACTACAGAAGATTAAATTCAGACAGACATTTAATACACAATATATATCAGTTTCACATGCCAAAGGAGAGAAAAGAAAAGGAAGAAAAATAATGAGGTACAAATGAGCTGACTGTACGGTAGAAAAAGCACTTACAACGAGTTCAACTGAATTAATGAACTGAATTTATACTCCAAAAATATTTTTCACAAACTTCGGATATTTTTTCCAGTTTTGTCACTCAAAATTACTCATTAGTGTAATGAACATTGATGAATGAAAATGTAGAGGCCATGTCTAGAACTGTCATTAGCTTATTTGTTAAAAAAACATCAGCGAATTGGAGAACGAATGGCTTTCGTAAGTACCAATGAGTTAAATTGTAAATGTAACCTTCTACGTATATTGAAACTAACAATGTCGATTTCAGTCTCATTTAGCAACTTTTAATCAAGTTATGACTGTGAATTATAGCTGTATGATCACGTTTTTATGATGTACCCTAAGTTGGGTACATCATGCGACAGTTATTAGCGATGACAGGCATTCTACGGCAAAGGTTGAGTAGTGTAGCTGAATATGCCATCTGATCCTAATGCAAAGAAGTTAAGAAGAAATATAGTATAACTGAAGTTTCGATCTGTTTTTTTGTCTAATTTGTTTACTAAGTAACAAATGAGATACGAAAAAACATGAAAAATAGGACAGGCGGACTTCTATGCGTGTAGAAATCAAATTAACTGAAACTTTTATTTGAATGTTATGTAAATTGAACAGCAAACGCGAATGTTTGATTAGGAGAACTATACGCAACGTATTTAGTTCCAGTAATATTCATTGCTAGCATATCCCGGTCACTGAACTGACAAAAAAAAAACGCTCTACGTAAACATTGCATCAGTCGACCAAAGCATGTAAAGGAAGAGACAATTAACAGACTTGCCAATAAGCGTGAAAGAAAGCCATAGTTGCGCAACTGATCATTGCGTAAACGTTCTTTTACTTACGAGGGAACATTCCCAAGTGATACGCTCCGATTTCATTCGTTCGTACGTCGATCGACAGAGGATAGTGAGCTAGTAAAAAGCCTAAAAGGATTCGGGCTCTTTACTCTTGAAGACCCGGTTTTCTGGAAAACCAGTTTTTCAGAAACTTTAAAAAAGAAGCAAAATCTTTTCTTAATGAGGCATAATTGCAGCCCGTACATTTATGATTAAAATGAGGCATTCCCCAGCTCTACACGACCTTTCTATGCAAAGTTATACAATTTACAAGAAAAGCCCTAAATTAATTTCTTCGTATTTCTGTAGCTTTGAGATGACAATAACATTTAGGGCTTTTCTTGTAAATTGTATAACTTTGCACAGAAAGGTCGTGTAGAGCTGGGGAATGCCTCATTTTAATCGTAAATGTACGGGCTGCAATTATGCCTCATTAAGAAAAGATTTTGCTTCTTTTTTAAAGTTTCTGAAAAACTGGTTTTCCAGAAAACCGGGTCTTCAAGAGTAAAGAGCCCGAATCCTTTTAGGCTTTTTACTAGCTCACTATCCTCTGTCGATCGACGTACGAACGAATGAAATCGGAGCGTATCACTTGGGAATGTTCCCTCGTTAGCCATTCGCGTAAACAATTTCAGACTGATACTGACATACAATTTCAGACTTTCGATGAATAGTAGCCTTAAAAGCTAAGAATTTATCAAAATCTTGAGAAAATGTTGTTCGAGAGAAACATATGATGAAAGCGACCTCTGGAGATTGTTCAGAGACTGTTAAAAAAGGAAGTGAATGCAGAATTTAGGAAAACACCAATCTGTTCATTTCTGCCCGGCTTTTGATTTCATATCCAGTCTTTTATTACTTTTCAGATATTTACCGTTTTGTCCTAATTATTGCTCTGCATATTAAATATTCTCTTGTTAAATTGAATATTCTATCTTGTCTTTGTATTGACAAACGTATCAACAAAAGTTACTGAAAACTATGTTTGGTTTAGTTTTGTATGTTCGTATTGGAAAAATTTATTAATCAGAGTTGTCTGTCAGCAAGAGTAACAGTAGTTCTTTCTACTTTGTATTCAATACATCAGAAATTTGATAAAAAATTTTCATCATTGGTATTCCATGGTCAGAACACAACTGATAATAATTTGTCTCTTTTAAATTTTTATCAAACAATTGATTCAATGCATTCGTCAAATCAACATCATTCGACAAATCGTTCTCAACCATCAGAAACGTCCTTCTTTTCACCATATCAAAGACTTACACCTTCCAACAATTACCACCGTCATACAGGGAATAGTATAAATAATTTTAATTCGATGTTAAAACGACCACGTTCACCCAGTAATTCATTAACAACTGATGATAGAGATTATAATAATTATAAAAAGAGAGGAAAATATTTTGATATGAACGATATGTATTATGACTATCAAGCTAATCGTAAGAATTATAACAGCAGTGCTCATGTGTGTAAGTATTTACCATTTTTCATTTTTTTTATAATCTAATGATTACGACTAATCGACTAAAATTTATTAGCGCTATTTGTTTAGTTGAATTGCAGTTACCACAACGAAAATGGTCATATACAGAATTTGAACAACATTCATCTAAGAAAAAATTTTTTTCTTTTGAATTAATTAGTTTCAATGTTCTTTCACAAGATTTATTAGAATTAAATCCTTATTTATATACTGATTGTATGCCTAAATATCTTGATTGGGATTATCGAAAAAAAGTTATCATGAAACAGATTATTGGTCGTGATGCAGATGTAAGAATAAACGAAAATAGAAGAGAAAATGTTTTTCTAGTAATTAACTATAAAGTTCTTTATTTTTTGCAGATAGTGTGTTTACAAGAAGCTCAAGAAGACCATTATGAAAATTACTTTTGTCCAAAATTGAAAAAACATGGTAAGAAAATCGTGATATTATTTAGTAATGAATATAATAGATAAGAGAGCAATTTGTCTTGGACTATGTCATCCGTAAAAAAACATTTCCGTCTTGCAGATGATAAAGATATCTGTTAAGAAGTAGCGTTGAAATGAAAATTATATTTCTACTATTTTTTTTCATATTTAATCTGTCGTCTGTCCACTACTTTATTTCTAAGCATAATATAACACTTGTAGAATAAAGATAAAGTAATGTTCTCTTTCTCATAATCAACAAAAACAAAGTAACTGTATAGTCTGTTTCTACAGCTGACACAAAAAGTCTCTAGACAAACTGTTCAGAACTAAAAATTACTAGAAAATTTGATGTTAGACGAATTGAGTCGTCATTAGATAAAATCAAGAATGCACAGTTGGAATGAAGCTTTAACTTTCGCTTGTATTTTTTAGGTTACGAATCATTATTTATAAAGCGATCGGGTGAAAAAACGGATGGTATGTTTATTTTTTCCTAAAATGATCATCAGTTTGATTATTCAAGATTTTCTATTCAGGCTGTGCTTTGTTTTATAAAACTCATCGATTGTTACTTGTTGATTACAAATCTGTGCCATTTCATCATCCAAACATCGAGCTATTAGACAGGTACATATTAGAACTATAGTAAGCAACGAAAGATCTATTAAATAAACAAGCTTTTTTCTTTGACACCAGTCGTCGGGTGCCTGTAAAACTGTCGTGCTTCTATTTTAGGAGAATAGTATAAAAATAATGAGTAACCTAATTCTTTTATATTGTTTTATCTAGAGACAATGTTGGTCTTATAGCATTATTTAAACCAAAAATGGCTCATGCTTCCTCTGATGATCTTTTATGTGTTGCTTGTACACATTTACTGTTTTCACCTAAACGTGGAGACATTAAATTAGCTCAATTACAATATTTTCTTGCTGAAATTGATCGTCTATCAGTAAAAGACAATAATATCGATGATGAATCATCATATTATCCAATTATATTATGTGGTGATTTTAATAGTCAACCATATTCACCATTATATCAATTTTTAGTCGACGGTTATATTAAATACGATCGATATAGACGAATAGAAATATCTGGTCAGACTTCATCAAATAATTATTCACTCTATTTACCATCAAAGGAACTGATACCATCATGTTATGTTCAATCTGATTGTCGATTTCCTACTAGGACAAAAATAACTGAAATTATTGAACAAAAAACAATGAACATCGTCGTAAATGAGAAAGATCTAGAGATAATTGAAGAAGACGTCGTAAATGAGAAAGATCTAGAAATAATTGAAGAAGACGTAGATGAAAAAGATCTAGAAATAATTGAAGAAGACAAGGATGTTATTTTCTACAAGGAATATTTAAAAGTAAACAATGTCAATAATTCATCATCGATATTAACGCATAATAAAAAATTTTATTCTGTCTATAAACATTTTGATAGTTCTAATACACCTGAGGTAACATCGCATGCCGGTTATGACATTCAACAGGTTGATTTCATCTTCTATACAACAGGTGGTAATAGAAAGAAAACGACAGTTACATCAACAAACGAACAACAAAAACCGGCAAGAGGTGATCGATTAAATTTAGTTGGACGTTATAATTTATATTATCAAAATCAATTAAACAGCATTCTATTGCCGAACTGGCAGTTTGGTTCTGATCATTTTTTATTATCAGCTAAATTCGCTTTAAAATTGCACCATGCTAAAAAAAGATAGAATAAATTTGTACAGGTTTTGTGTTTCTTTTCTTTAATGATGTCTTCCGCACAAGTATTAAAACTGGTTGAGTGGTGATATTTTTTTTTTATTAGATATGTGAAACCTTTTTTGTTTTTTGTTTGTGTGTTTTTTTTATGATTATTTTTTATGCTATATTAGCGTCCTATATTTTTTCCGTTTGATTTTGTTTCTGATACTTTTTTTATTTTAATAAAACACTCCCAACAGAAGAAAACATTTTATGAATGAATTTAGAAAATTACACTGTAAATCTATACGTGGATATTTTGTGTTCGTACATTTGAATAGAAATAATATTCTACTGTCTATTTTTATAGAATTATTTAATTTTTTTATAGATTAAGAAAAATGAGCGTTATTGAAAAATTCGTCGTTAAAAGTCAAGAACTTCTTGAGCTCGAACGCCAAGAAGAACTATTTCAATCAACGTGTGTATTGAGAAAACAAAAACGAGTAAATATTGATAATTTCTAGCTCTTTTTTTAGAGAAGCTTTACAAGGACAATCAATCAAACGTTTGAATGAAAAAGGTGTTTGTGTAAATAAATTACGTTATCAATATTCTTATACGGGTTTATACGGACGACATATTATTGTATTCGATGGTGAATATTTAACAACACGTACCGAAACGTTTAGTCCCGGTTTGTATTTCATTTTCTCTGTTACACTCCATCGAACTATTTTCAATAAATATATCTATTTATTTTGTAGGTGATATTGCCAGTATTTATCGTAATGCATCGGAAATAAATGAAAAATCACCTATTGCCAATGGTGTTATATTTCGTGTAACTAATAATAGTATTCATATTGCATTAGATGAAAATGATAATGGAGAATATGAAATAGAAAACGAAACGTGTCAATTTATGTTGATTAAAATTGCGAACGATGTTACTTATCGACGATTGAAACGGTAAATAAATTGTAATGTCTTATCATCACAAATTCTATAGATGTTTTCATTTTAGTATACTTGAGAAATTATTAAAAGATCGAAATGGTCGAGCTCAAAATTTACTTGATATCGCATTTGAAAACAGTGAACCAAATCAAATCGAATCACAATCAAATAGCAAGCAAATTGAATATTTTAACCAAAATTTGGATGAATCACAACGTGAAGCAATCAAATTTGCACTTCAACAACGTGACATTGCCGTGATTCATGGACCACCGGGAACAGGTAGATTTTGTTAATTTTCAGTTTGTTAAAATATTTTATCAGTGCAATTTAGGAAAGACAACAACAGTTGTTGAATACATATTTCAAGCAACATTAAAATATAATCTGAAGGTGTTATGTTGTGCTCCATCGAATATTGCTGTAGATAATTTAGTTGAACGATTAAGTCAACGAAAACAATTACGTCAAATTCGTCTTGGACATCCAGCTCGAATGTTAGAATCAATCCAAAAATTTTCACTTGAATCGATTGTTACCCAACATCATAACGATGTTAAAAGTGCTCTACGAGAAGATTTAGATAAATGTTTTGTAAGTAGTGACACTGGTAGACGAAAAGATTCAATTGAGTTTCTCGTGATATACAGTGATTTATCTAGAAGGAGAACTGGTGAGACGGTACACTATCGAAAAACAAAACATAGATAAATCACTGGTAAATTTATATATTCGTCTCCTAGGCTTCAATTGACTTTTTATCAAAATTGAATGAGTTGTTGAGTACTACAGCGTGTTTATCTATATTTAGATGAAAGTACGCAAATGTACTAATCGAGGTGAACGTGAACAATTGCGTCATGAAATTCGTTTATTAAGAAAGGATATACGTGAATATGAAGAAAAAGCTAGTCGTGATGCTTTGAAATCAGTGAATGTTGTATTATGTACCCTAACATCAGCAAATGATGATGGACCTTTAAAATTATTACCATTGGATTATTTTGATGTTGTTGTTATTGATGAATGTTCACAGGTATATTACTTTCTTTGATCTATATCACAGTTGTAGAATATTACTTGATATTCAAATCTTTAAATAGAAACATTTTTCGTGTTAAAGATTACATGAATGTTGTAAAGAATTAAGTCAGATGAAGACTTTTTTTGCATTGATATCAAGTTTTCGACAGTTAGATTGCTTGTGCAAACTTAATAAGTAATGTTTTTTTTAGGCGCTGGAAATTGCTTGTTGGATTCCATTGTTACGTGCCTCCAAATGTGTATTAGCCGGTGATCACCTTCAATTACCACCAACAATTTTGAGTGAAAAAGCAGCCAAAGATGGTCTCGATATTACATTGATGAAACGTTTGATAGATCAATTCAATGATAAAGTTTGTAAAACATAAAATGATGATCTTTTAAATAGAAATATTTTTCTTGTTAAAGATTACACGAATGTTGACCGTACAATATCGTATGAATGAAAAAATAATGAATTGGTCTTCAAATGAATTTTATCACGGAAAATTGACAGCTCATTCATCAGTTCAACATCATTTGTTGAGTGATTTACCGAATATTGTACGACATGAAGATGAAAATGATAATATTTCAAAAGTACCGTTGTTATTGATCGATACATCTGGTTGTGATATGAATGAATTACAATTTGAAGATGAAATATCGAGAGCGAATGAAGGTAGATAAAATTTGATGATATATTCATTAGTCAATAAGATGTTGTTTTATTTATAGGAGAAGCATCGTTAGTTGCCCATTATGTAAAAATACTTGTCGAACAATATGGTGTTGAACTAACTCAGCTTGGTATAATTAGTCCTTATAATTTGCAAGTAGATTTATTAAGAAAAAAGTTATTGACGCAATATCCAGCCTTGGAAATTCGTTCCGTAGATGGATTCCAAGGAAGAGAAAAGGAAATTATTATCATATCGATGGTTCGATCAAACAAGCAAGGTAGGGGTTTAACACGGTTAGTTATAAAGAGCAGATAAAAATAGAAAATGTGAGAAAGTAGTTCGATGCAAGAGTGATCGATGGAATGTTGAATACTATTTTCTACGCAATGTGCTAGAGACTTAAATTTTGTTTTCTGTGGAATGAGCAACATCTACAATACAATACTTGTTTGAAATACGTTCTGACAAAACTTCACAGTGGAAAATATTTCAAAAACTAACGAAAAAAGTTATTATGAAATCGAAAAATCCGAATTTTTATTGGAACTAATATCGAATAAATGGAAATTTAGTCCTTGAAAGGCTATCAATCGGACGAAAACATTAGAAAATACCTTTTGGTGGCGATATGAATTGTCTTCTATAACTGACTTTTTCAAAAAAATTGCTCTTTCGCTCCTATACCAAGGACATCAAATAAATTCGTTTCGATAGACTAAAAATATATGAGATATGATGGATTTTCACACTACCTTTTTCGAGACTAAATGAAGAATCGTACAATACGTTCAAAAAAGAAAGTTCGGTTGCCAGCTAGAAAATTAATGCTAGTTTCAATAGAGACATTTTCCAGCTAAAACAAAAGAAAAGTGAACTTACTATACATTATTCGAAATGATATTTCAAACACCTTGTGATGAGATTATTTTTAAACATACCTATGAACGAAGAAAAATTTATTTGAGAAAAGTAAAAGGTAAAAAAAGCAATTTTTTTGATAATCGTTAGTTTTTAAAATATTTTTCACTGTGAAGTTTTGTCAGAACGTATTTCAAACAAGTATTGTATTGTAGATGTTGTTCATTGTAGAGAAAACAAAATTTGAGTCCATTCCGTAGTCGAAAAAAATAGTGTACGACATTTCACTAATTACTTTTGCATTGAATGTTAAAGATTTTAGCTTTGTTATTCACTATAGACAATATATTTAAGTTGTACATCATTGTTATCTTTTTTAACTTGCAGGAGAAGTGGGCTTTTTATCTGATTCACGTCGAATCAATGTCGCCGTTACTCGTGCTCGTCGTCATTTAGTTATTGTTTGTGATACGAGAACAGTTTCACGTGATCCGTTTATAAAACGACTAATTGATTATATACAAATAAATGGAGATGTTCGTTCTGCACACGAATATATTCATGGTAAATTATCGGGTTATGAGTGAGAGTACCATTATGCTTTTATTTGGTGTTTCTTATAGATGAAAATTTTTCGGATGAGTCTACGTTAACAAAAACCATGCAAAAAGTATCTTTAAAATCTAATCAATCGAAAACAGCGTCCAAGTCGAATAAGATACGTCAACAACCATCATCACACAGTAAATTTAAAGAAAATATGAATAGTGTACAAAATGATCGGTTTGTATTGATGTAGGACGGACAGATGAAAATCTCTATAATATTATCTGTTATTTTATTAGTATTTCGAATGATGACAAAACTGAACTGGAACAAGTACTTGATCAGCGGCTTATCACATTTCTAAATGATAATCATGCTTATGAAATTGTATTTGAAACAAGTTTATCGAACTACGGAAGAAAGTATGTTCATTCGGTAATGTTGTCTTTTATAGGTTTTCTTTTTGTATACAGTTTCGTCGTTTTTGTTTGTTTAGCTTGCTGAAATGTATAATTTAAATCATCGAAGTGAAGGCATTGATGAAGATCGTCATATTATCGTATCAAAAAAAAGTATTGTTAAAGAAAAACAACAATCAGATGATGGTACATCGACTAATGATGAGGAAGAAAAATCATTTCGAACATTTTCGTCGTTAGCTGAACATGAACCGAAAAAATCAAAACAATCGAAAAAAAACAAATTAAAAGAAGAACATTCTGAAATAGTGATAAATCCAGATATATCTATAGAAAATGAAAATAAAAGCGAAAATGTAAGTTTTTATTTCATTTATACAATCTATATAGCGTGTAAACTTTTTCTGTTAATAGATTGAGTCAACTGTTAATGTGTCCAATGAAAATATTTGCCCATATTGTAAAAAATCTATACCAATACAAAACTATCAACTTCATGAGTTGTATTGTCAACGTATTAATCAGACGCCATCGACATTATTTCAAATAAAAGATCAAGTAAGTATAAAAGAAGACAAGAAAATGACTTATAAAAGTATAATTCTACTATAGGCGAACACTCAAATTTCATCATCAGTTAAAGAAGATAAAACCATAAATTCAAATTCCGTATCATCAAAAAAACAAAAACAATCACATGTACCACCTAGTCGATTATTAACAATAGATAAAAGTGCCGATTTTGATACAATAATTGAAGCGGCTAGACAACATGATAATATTTGTAATTATCAAAAATGTAAAATAAAAATAACATTACTTGGTCAATTATGTTCCTATTGTAATCATCGTTTTTGTTTTGAACATTCGATGCCCGAAGTACATGGTTGTGGACAAACGGCACGAAAAGATATGCGTAGTGCACATCTAAGTGCACATTCAAATCCAACGCCTGTATATTCTAATAGTCAACCTATTAAAAAAGAAAAACGACCATATTTAGAACGAAAATTACAAAGTAAAATAGCTGAAAAAGAAACAGATCGAAAAAAAAAATCGGACAAATAAGAAAACGTTATCATTTTTACAATTATTAGATAAAACGTATATATAGAGAGAGCGATATTTATCTATTTTTTATTTTTGTTTAATGTATATGAATATTTATATATTAGAAAAATAAAAAGTATTTTTCAAGAGAAGACGAGGATTAGTCAGATGAAATAAAACTTTGCTCATTTATTACAAATTTGACAGATGAAAGTATCAGATAAAAAATGTTTGTTCTTTTTGTCCATTAAAAATTTTATGAATTAGAAAGTAAAATTTATCATCCAAATTTTTCTCGGCTAAATATGTCAAAAACATGCTATTGTTTCTAACGAACGAATCCTCCAAGTGTCCAACCGCTTTTTCTTTAAAATATACACGATTGTGGATAATCTTTGATGCTGATCATGAATCTGATAGTCATTTCTACTGCTAGGTCTTTCTGGAATGGATCTCTGCAATCTGTATGTCCAAAGACCCGCTATGAACTTCCAGTTGAACATATATGGGCACTGTCAAATTGTAGAACATGTTGAATCAGATCAACAGACAATTTTTCGCAGAGGTAGAAAAATTTTACTTTCTAATCCAGTAGCGAACCAAAATATTTCAGGTTTTTTGAACCCTAAAACTTTTCCATCTCTGCGAAAACTTGTTTGTTGGTCTGAACGTTTTCCCACATAGGTAATTCAACGTGTTCTACAATCTGGCAGTGCCAAAATTTCAGATATCCATCTCAGAAAGGCCTAGCAGCAGAAACGAATATCAGATTCGTGATTAGCATCAAAGATTATCCACAATCGTCTATATTTTAAGGAAAAAGCGATTGGACACTCGAAGAAGTTCTCTCGTAAGTGACATTTCAACAATAGTGTATTAAAAGTTCATGCAAAATTAATTATTTTTTTCTTGAATTATTCAAAACGAATAATCAAATTCAGTGGCGTATATCAATATTTTTCTAGATGTTTTTGCGATATTTGAATTCATATACAATTCGTTCTTCAATAACTCATCTATCATTATTGACAAGAAGAACTCAATTATGTTCAAATTGCACACAAAAATTTATGATAAATTCTTTGTTAGTTAAAACATCTTTACCATTGTCTCAACATCATTTTATTCGACAACAAGCAACAACAACAACAACAACACAACCGTCTCAATTCGATTATTCATCGAATAATGATAATAAAAATGTTTTTCATCGAATTCATTCATCTAAATTAGATTTAGATTCTTTATTAGAACGTTTAGATGGTGAAGCTCATCGTCGTGGTCGTTTAACACCCGGTTTAGTAAATGAAGCAATTCGTAAAGCAACAATTGAATTAGAATATATAAATCCAACACAAGCATTATTATTAATACGTTGTTCGGGTTCATTATTACTTGGTGAATTACCTATACAACGTCAACAAGTTTTAGAACAAATGATGAACGTATTTAAAACAAAAAATGTTCAATTTGATATAACACACTATAATTCATATATGCGTGTTTGTCTACAAAATTCTCATTATTTTGATCCAGATAAAATATTAAACGATATAAAAATCTATGGTGCTAAATCTAATATTCAACCAAATTTAACAACATATAAATTATTTATGGAATGTTATGCAAAACAAGGACGATCAAATGATGCTCAAAAAGTATTAGAATTAATGAAACAATCAAATTTTAATATTGAATCACATACATTAACTTGTTTAATTGAATCTTATGCACAACAAGGAAATTATGATAAAGTACAACAATTATTTCAATTATTTGATGAATTAACATTAAAACCTATTTCACAAACATATGAACAATTTGTTATTGTCTATTTTAAACAGGGACAATTTTTAGATGCAAAAAAATATTTTATATTAAATTCATCAAAAATGGATAATGATACATTCTATCGTCTTCTCATTTTATCTGCCACGTATAATCAACATGATATGTTTCAATTAATATTGGATACAATTGATAAAAATGTCTTAGCTGATACATGTATACAATATATACTGTATACTGCTGAATTATTAAGTAAAAATTTAGATGATTATGCATTTATGCTAATTAAGACATTTCCAGAAAGAGATGAAACATTAAGATTTGATGTATTAAATTATACATTTTTAAATTTATTAAAAATACGTTTACCTATCCATCATTTTAAACCATTTTCATCGATAAATATTGAACAAAGAACAAAAGGTATTTATTATTTTTTTAGAATTATTCGCTTGCCTCCTAGTACGAGAGGATAGAAACTAATGAAACATTTTGGCCAATTTTGTATTTTCGACTACTTCACATAAATGTGCTCTTCCGACACTTTTTTCACTATTTTCTTTTTTATATATCTTTCGAACAGATGAACACCAAAATGTCTGTCTCATTTTGTGATGAAAAGTGTCCTGAACAAGGTAAAACACACCAGAATTATCTCAGGCTCTTGATTATGGAGATATTGCGAAGATATTTAACATTACCCTTAAGGGGGGGAGGGTCCTCTCATTTAGATTTAGTTCAAACTTTGCCACATTGTAGAGGACACTTCAAAATATATATTTTAATTATAATTATTTTAATTTTAATTTTTTTCGACCTGTTTTTGCCTATTTTTTAAAATTTTTACTTTTCAGTTTGGAACCTCGGTGTGTAACCAATCGATGGAGCGCACCGAGATGTTTATGTAAAACGATTGTCATCGTTCTCGAACTAGATATGGCAGCGAAATTCAAATTTTACTTTGAGAATGGGTTTTGGGAGCCTAAAGTGTGCGTTTTCGCGATCTTGCCTACAGTATCTCTGCGTGAAAGCATTTTGAATCGAAATGTGAGTGCGGAAAATCTTCAACTCATGGAACATAGACACTTTCACATACGGAATCGAACGGATGTGTCAAAAATTGAAAAAAATAAAGATTTTCAGGTCGGTTTTTCTAAGCTCTGGAGCGTAAAATCGCTCAGGACCTTGTGCAGAGCTTCGCTTCAGGAAAAAATTATAGAAAAAAAACTATAGGAACAAAAATTGTTCAGAATCAAATTTTATACCCGATGAGCGGAGGAAATTTTGAAATTTTGAAAACACGACTTTCAAATCGAAATTTATGAAAAATTCGACTGTTAAAAAGTGTTTTAGGATTTAAAAATCGAGTTTTCAAAATTTCAAAAATTCCTCCGCTCATCCGGTGTATAATTTGATTCTGAACAACATTTGTAACGAAACTTTTGTTCCAAAATGCATCCCTGAAGCGAAATCGTGCTCAAAGTTTTTCAGAAATATTTTTTGCTCCGGATGGTGAATCGTCCAAGTAAAACAGCGTCAGAAAACAATGAAAATTCTTCTTTGGTACATCTCGATGTGCCCGAGCGATCAGCGCAAGAATTAGCGTTCCATTTCAAAAAAAAAATTCTATAGAAATTTTAAAAAATGGACAAAACGGGTAATAGTAAAACATGAAGACACCCACAGACACCCACAGACAGCCACAAACAGCCACAGACAGCTGCACAGACAGCACACATACAACCACAGACAGCTACACAGACATCCAAACACAGACATCCATACACAGACATCCATGGATCAGACATC